ATTTCAAGTATTTACAGGGATTAGTTTTTGATTTACAACCATATAAAAAAATCGATTTGGTCGAAAACTGGTTTTGCGTAAAAATTCCCGTTTTACTGTCATTTTTTTTTTTTGTTTTTCTCGATTTTTTGAAATTTGTTTGAAAATGTTTACTTTTGACCTCTATAATGCACCAAGGATATTCACTTTTACATCGGAAACCACCCCCAAAGTTTTAAATTTAGGCATTATTTCGACTAGTTATACTGTACACGGACACAAAAAAAAAACACATCATTGTAAAATCAATACATTCATCACTTCGTTCAGAATCTAAAACGATAGTTCAATAGGAGGTCATCTTTGGCATGGAGTGTAAAGCCATTATCGCATGGAAGTCACACAATATTTATTTAATATTAATAAAGTGCATCACATTTGAGTAAGCAATTTAATGTTTAAACTACATTTTTATGAATTTGTTTTTCTTTCATAAAAAAGAACCGTGTATAATATGCAAAATAAGGTTTTATATTATTATAAATATTATAATATGAGTTTTTAATATAATTATAACATCACCCAAGTCCCAATTATGACATGAAACATAATTATCAAGTATTTATAATATGTCAATTGCATCAGAAAAAAATTATTGTAATATATTCTGAGTGGTGAATAGTATTAGGTATTAGACCGAGATCGAAAACTTTTTTATTTCCATTTTTGTTATTAATTTTTTAACGTATTTAGAAGCATTTTCCGTATCTGTCAGGTAAGGTTAATGATTGTAAAGATATTTGAAATGTGTAGAATTATGATATGTAAGGATAAACATTCACTGATATAAAGACAAATAATGTATGTAATATTTAGTAAATTTTAATATATTAAAATTAGCGAGCAATCAAGGTAKGCATGGTTAACTAAACTTAAAAGCAAATTCATTATTTTCAAAAGATTATTCTTTTTTTTTTTTATAAAGCTATCTATATTTGTAATATACTGTTGAAGTACACCAAAWACACAGAAGCTAAAGGTAAATAATAATAAGATCGGATATATTTAATAATATAATAACTATAGTGCTCCGAAGTGTAATATAAAACAACGACTAATCGTCCTACAGGCTACTACATAAAACGAATATGCTAGTAATACAAAATGCCTATTCAGCGTCTGCTATACAACAGTGTGAATATTTTAACTTATAATATACATACTATAGGGTGTGTTGTTTACATTCATCACTTCCCCTTAAATAATATACCCWAACTTAGAATTAATATATCTCATTCCCAACATCTCCCTGAGTTCCTGGAATCTTGGTCGTGAAGTTGGCTTAGTCAATATGTCAGCTAACTGCTCCTTGCTTGGCACATACTCCAGAGAAAAYATCCCTTCACTGAACTTCTCACGAATGTAATGATAGCGAATATCGATGTGTTTTGTTTACTTATGGTATTCTGGATTTTTCACTAGTTTGATGGCGCTTTGGTTGTCTGCATACAAAACAGGTGTATCTTCCTGTGGCTCCAGAAGATCACTGGTAAGTAGCGTCAACCAAGTGAGTTCCTGTATAGATTGGCTCAGTGCTATGTATTCTGCCTCAGTAGTCGAAAGTGCTACCGATTTTTGCCTTTGTGAACACCATGCTACGATTCCATCTCCCATCATGAAAATKAATYCWGATGTTGATCGTCTCGTTGTTGTGTCACCAGCATAGTCTGCGTCACTATATCCACGCAACTTTGGTGTTACACTAGAATCATAAATTAAACCATAATTAAATGTTCCCTTTAAATATTTAAATATACGTTTCACCGCATTCCAATGAATTGTCAGAGGCTTTTCTAGATAACGACTGACAAGATTTACTGCAAAAGTTATATCAGGCCTTGTTATTTGGCTTAGATACAACAAACTTCCAACTGCTTCTCTGTAWGRAACTTCCCCTGCTTCCAATGATYCTGACAAATTTGGATCTAATGAGTGTTGTGGATCTGTGGGAATATGCAGGACTTTGGTTTCTTCCATATTGAACCTCTCTAAAATGCGCTTGCAATATGAAG